AACAAGACAATGTACCTAACAAATATACTTAAGTGAAAAATCAAAGTACATTATTTCAACCTTTAAACTCCCAGAAGTAATTACTACATAACCTCTCCCTAGAGTATCCATACATTATACAGCTAACAGGCAGTGAGAATATTAAAACTCATCAGGTACAAGTTATTACCTTGTTTGAACACCAAATTCTCGTAATCAATTTACAAGGAAATGTGTAGTAACTGGAGGGAAGAACTGACGATCAGATCTTGGGAATTAAAGGGTTAACAAGTTGTGCATGTAAGAAAAGCAAGTTAGAAAAAAACACCCATACCTGCTGCAGACCCATGTCTCTCACCCTTTGATTCCTTCTTAAAGGCATAAGAAATTGTAATTGGTCGATTGCACAAGTACTGCCCGTGCATAGCTTCCATGGCAGCATCGGATGCTTCAAAACTTGCAAAGTTGATGAATGCAAAGCCTTTGGAGTTACCAGTCTCAGGATCCCGCATGATCTACAAGTGTTTAGGACATTCCACGATGAGATATCTCACATAATTTGATTGATTACAACAATATTACATGTACATGTAGCTGGACCACCTGATTGTATATGAGACAATTAAATTGACTGATTAAATGACAAATTAACTTTAAAATGTAAACAAATGTACAGTTTATCCTGTGCAATTTGTTTTCAAAACTTCAACCACTCCCCAAAAAATATATTCCATTTATAATTGGTACATGTGTGCTTACGATCAGTGGGAGATACTTAACATTGAAATCACTACAGAGATATTTGTGTATCTAGTGATAGCTTATTCTCTAAATTTATTTTATTTGCACAATCAAAGAAAAATGGACTAAAGGAACATGTAAGTTTTTATTATCATCAAAAATGCAAGTTAGAGAGGTGAAACTTATTTCATTGAAATTTATAGTCAGATTATTCCATGGGAAAGAAAAGCCCTCTGAAATGTGCCCCATTCCCAATGTGTGCCTTCCTAGCTCACTTGGCAGCCGGGCCCAGCTAGTACATGTACATGCATCTAGAAGACACTGGTTCAAATCCCATCAAACCCTGATTTTTTTGGCAGGCTTCTTTTCTATAATTGCAGCTCACCCTTTACGATCAATGCTTTACTTGTAATCATTATGCCAACACACAGTTCTAAGTACAAAAATTTAAACAACCAAATATCAATCACCCTTCACTCATTTCTCTTTGAGCAGCTCTTTGCAAGTGGTAACATGTAAAATGCATTACCTTTGGGGTTTGAAGAATAACTCCAAAAGCACTAAATGTGTCATACAGCAGTTTCTCGTCAATCTCTGGATCAAGATTGCCAATGAAAATGTTGGCACCCACATCAAGGTTTTTATTGTGCGCTGATGCCTGAAATTCCAAAATAAAGTTGGTTCTTACAAAACATGAACTTGACACTTACAAGAACAACTAATCACATCTAATTTCCACCCATTCATTGAATACAGTAGATAAAATAACACAACTTGAAGAGATTATCATCTTTAAGGTGCTTCTCTAACAGTGCCAAACAATTAATAACAAAACATAATTATACAGTCAGGCATAATCTACCTTGTTCACTCTAATTGGCTTCCCATATACTTTTATCATGTTCATCACTTTGATGGCATAATCAGCATCCTCTTCGCCAAGGAATTCAATAAACCCATACCCTTGATGAAGCTGGGTGATGCGATCTTTAGGCATGTGCACATTCACTAAAAAAAATAGGTAAACAGAAAGTCAAGAATTGAGCTGATGGGCTTATATGGCCATAACTTATCCTGTTTTCTTTAGAAGGAAGCAGATGAGAACATTGTTGAGTCTCCTGGATGGCACTAAAGTCCATTGCAATTTATCCCCCGGCATTTTGCTGGGTTACCCTGGCAGTTTGCCTGTGCCCATTTGCACTCCTAAGTAGAGAGAGATACTGTGAGAGAAAAGTGTTTTGACAAAAAATGCATCACAATAATCACACCAGGTCTGCACACAGGACCTCTTTACCTTGAGTCTAGGGCCAGAGTGTCTCCTACAGAGATCACCTTTATATCAATAAGAATGCATACTACACATACAGTACATCATGTAGCAGTGATATACAAAATCTCAACCCTGGTTGCTTGGTATGAGATCAAAACTAACAGCCTTCACTTACCAACTGGTCCAGCTTGAAGAAACAGTTCCCACAAGAGGGTTTCTGCAACTTTTTCATCTAATCCACCCACATAAATTGTGGCATCTATTTGAATTGAAAAGAAAAAAAATAGACATAGTAAAATTCGTTTGCATGTTTTTCATCATTTTGTCATACTTTGAAACTGCATTCAACACTCAACATAAGCACTCTGTAAGCATTGGTTTACTCTGAATTATTTTACAAGAAAAACAGCTGTTCAGTTGCATAAGTAGTTTCAGACTACACCACTGGTCTTGAGAGTAGGGAAGGGTAATAGAAACCATTATTAGGTACAGGCAAAAATTGAGTAAATAAAGAAGATTAAGTCTGAATAGGCAGAGAACTTGAACAGTGATCTGTTTAACTTTTAATCCAAATGAGAAAATCTTTGTAAAACATGGGGTTTAGAGCGATTTTAATTGCTGGCAACGAAAAGAATTACAGATCTCGAAAATCGCCGGTCCACAGCCAAAGGGGAAGATCCTGAATTTCCGTTTGTCGTTTCTCACATTGATCAAAGAAAAGACACAATATTCAAAACTTAAAAAAGGGCACTTTGAGCTTTTAACTCAGCGACTTTTAAGCTTATTATGTACTAAGCAGTCCTCACGTGAATAAAAAACTCGATGTTCAAACGCTGCAAGTTTATCTAGATCTCAACATGAATAAGATCTCAACGAAATGCAATTAACGTCCTCGTTTCTTGTATGTCTTAACAAAGATCACCTGAGCACACTAGTGCGACAAGTGAAAAATTCCTGCTTTAACAAAACACTTTTCTTAGAACGCATAGATTTAACGAGAGCTACATGTAGTGTTTAACAAATCATGATCAAAGGACCAGAAAACGATCAAACGTTCTTACTACGATGATTGATGCTGTGGTAATCAATTAGTAAATAGGCATCGTAAACACGAGTTGACGAATAGCGTAGCAGAAATATACCCAGTGATATCATAGATACTTGGCATAGGCAAGCCAAATGGCAGAGCCTTCTGAGAAAGAAAGAAAATTCGCACATTACCTTGATTGCGCTCGGCTATCGGTCCGGCCGCCATGCTGAAATTAACAACTTCCCGGCAATCATCGGGGTGAAGATGCAAATAACCGCTGATCAAGAATTACGGGGGATGCGAACAACCGCTGTTCAAGAATACTGCCTAGAAATATCCCAGTAAATTCTAGTCACGCTCTGTAAACGAAAGCAAGGGTTTTGAGTACTCTTAAATTAGAATAACAGGCTTCGCCCTTGGCTCTACTAGAAAGTCAGACTGAGGCGAGAAGCAATCGACGGAAAAACGATGTGGGGGGATGGGGAAGTAGGCCTCCAAAAATTTCCGCCTAACCTACGTGTAGCCGTTCGCTTCCCACCCCCCCCCCCTCTCCCCACCAAGGTGGAGCGGAGGCGAGGTGGCTTTCAGGAACACCTCTTGTTCGCCCAGGCTTGGTTGGTCTTGACGGGCACGACTTGCAAAAAGAACTAGGCTACATTCCCAAGAACGTGCGCATTCTAAATGGCATTTGCTTGTACTCAAAAAGCTGCAAAATGTGGCATGTTCCAAGCAGTAATTACCGCAAGTCAAATTTAGACCGAAAGCAGAGAATGTGGGGGGATTGTCTCGTCTGTGAACGATATGTAAAAAGCGCACTCGACAATAGGCAATCGTTAGATGCCACTAAACGAGAGGATCGGCGAAATCCCAGAAGCAATTACCCAATCCAATTTTTGTCGCCCAAAAAACAAGTCCTTCGTCTAAGTAATGCTCGCCAACTTCGATCGCAAATGGTCAAGAAGCTTTTTCAGCTCGCCGAAGCCATTAAAAAATCCAATAAAGGCCAAGAGGGGCTTTGTAGGACTGTAAAAGAAGGGAAGCATTACAAAAATGGAAAGGGAGCCGGGTAAAGCTGGAAACTTCGTACAGGACATTTGGCAGAAAGATCGAGAAAGTTTGCAGCGATTTAATTCAAATAAATGACCAGCTGCTATCACCAGTAGTGTATCAGAATTGATAAGAATGTTTCTTGTAAAAAAAACCTTTGTTCTCAAAACGGTAAGCGAAATCCGAGAGTTTCGGACTATCGCACTTAGTGCGATAGTCGTCGGCCACCTCATTCCGTCAAACTTAAAATTAATGATACAGTACTTACTGGTCGCGCAACCGGTTTCGTAGATGATATGCAAATTCATCATGTTTTCCAACAGGAGTCAGTTACCATTTCCTAAAATTTGCATTATAATAAAAACCCTAACCTTCGGCAGATGCGTTAGAATAATTTTCATTTGTAGCAAAAGTAAGCCTTAAATACCAATGTATTGCACTCTGGCAGTGGCCACACACACGAAACGGAATATGGTTTGAGAAAGACATCACAAGAAATCAAGTTTTTTCTTGAGTCTAAAAGTGGACATTTATTGCTTTATTTGAGGATTCTGTTTGGATAAGGTCAGAGGTTGTTTATCGTGTTACTTTCCTTCATATTTCTTTGCCAATTTTGCCCACAACAAGTACAAAAATTGAAATTTGTTTTGATTTTTTAGCGAACAGTGAGTTGTTGGTTTCATTAAGGTAAAATATTGGAAAAGTTATCGATTTTAACAGAAAGCCAAACTTATTATTTCAGTGATTAATTTCCCTTTTTACTTCAGTTTATTTTCAAGTTCTTTGCATGAAGAGATAAAACTCTTGACCTTGCAGAACTTTACTTCTTTAGCCCTCTAGAAAGACTTGACATTTCCGGTTCAAATTCCCCACCCAAGCCACATAAGGTTCAAATTTCCCATTCCCCAGAAACGGACGACAATAAAATATCAGAGGGGGGATGTTGAATTGATCGATGCGTTATTTCTTAGTCCCGCTTTCGTTCGTTTACATGTACTCCCTTTTTGAAAACGTTTGTGTCAGGGGTAAGTATTTGTTACTAAAATGGGATGCAAAACGTGACACCCAATAAGACTTGAACTCGTAAAGGCACTGATCTATTTAATGTTTCACATCGACGGCAGAATAGCTCATAAATTATTTTCCACTTTTGTGTCAGAACATCGCAATATACTTGGTACAGTTTACTAGTCCGTTCGCGTTTTGACTCCAAGTAGACCTAGTGTAATCTAACGCGACACGATGTGTTGTATCGTGACGAAGTGCTGACTACTGGCGCAAGTGTCAAATGACAAAATATTCTTCTCGATTTGCGAAAATTTCCTGGAGTTTGAAAAGATTTTTGGATTGTAAACTATTTTCGGTTTTCATGAAAGTTATTTGTCAACCAATTAATTAAACCAGGATTTGAAATTGTTTTCTCGATTTGACAAACGTTTCAAAAGCGATTTTTTCTAAAAGATATCGATTCTGAACGAAGTTTTTTCGGATTTTCAAGATAATTTTTGGATCGTCCCTTTTCGGCTTCCGTACCTCTCTCATTGCCATAAAAAATAGATGAAATATGGGTTTTCAGTTTTCGGGTCGCAAATCTTGGGTCTTAACTTTCGTTTTCACTACAACCGACAGTTCAGTGATGAACAAGGATTCAACTCGAATTCATAGTTTCATTTTTCATGTAGATTATGTATAAAGCTAGTGTTAAGCCATCGAAAGAAGTTTTAAAAAATATCCTTCACGAACGGTCTCTCAAAGCTAAATAGATCCTAGGGCAAACTCAATTCGCGATTGCGTGCGCATTCCAAAGAGGTGACGTTTGTTTCAAACAACACTCAATTCATGTCTATGCCCTTAGTGAGGGCGTCTCGTGTAAGCATTTTGCGCTCACCGTTAGTGAAAAAAAAAAATTGCAAGGAAGTATCCTGAAAGGTTGGGTTTCCTTTATACTGATAAGAAAATTGAAACATGCGGAAAACGGAGATAAGAACCACTCAAAAACGTGATGTAATTTACATAATATCTAACGAAGAATATCTAAACCGCTGGCGTGACAAGGAGGATCAACTGCAAATGTACTTTACAGGCACCAGATTTTGATGAAGTCACCAATCACCACCAAATAAACTAGGTTGGAATTCACAACAACTTTTCTTTTTTCGAAAGTTGTCGTTCTCAAAACGGTAAGCGAAATCAATTCTTCCGAGCGTTAATACTGGATCGATTGTTTACATTCATTGAGTAACCAAATATTTATTCCATTGCGACATTGTCGCTCAGAGATATTTGCTTTTGCTCAAAATCAACAGATACTTCCATGATATTAGGAAAACTTCCGAAGCTTGGACTTTATTTCTGACCGGTAAGCTGATTTAGGAACTGATCCCAATGATAGCTAAGTCATCATAGATTAAAAACTTTTCTCCATTGACCTTTAGCTTTTCCCCATTTTTTTAATTAATGGAATTAATTCATCCATAAATAAACATTGTTCCAAATAAATGACAACTTCTGGATCGAGGTAACATGGGAGATATCAGGCTAACAAGTTGGGGTAATTCTTTTACTGTTCAAAGCGGCGCGAAACGACCTTCGAACGTTGAGATAACCTGTCATCAAAATCTGTCACTTCGCACACTTTTTCCGATAAATGTTAAGAAAAAGGGTAGATTTTTTTAATTTATTTCAAGAGATGGTAGGAAATCTTTACGACAGGACTCGAGTCGAAGTCATAAGAACACCTTCGATACGCCAAGTTGGCGGGCAAGTATGGGCTGACTTGGGCGGCTTTATCGTTTTTTTCCCAAGCAAAAACAACTGGAACTTTTTAATACCCAGTTCGTGGTTAGGCCCCTCAAATTAGTCTTTATGCTAAACTTCAGCCAAATCAGTGAGGTTAAGTGGCCGCGATTGTTTTTGAAAATTTCGAAAGTTACAGACCATTGCTCTTAAGCTTGAATGACTGATCGGTCTTGGATCGTTCAGCCTTTTTCCGGATGGAAAATAAGGAAGATCCCTCTTTTTAGCTTAGCTAGTGAGTCGCACAAGCTAATAATAAACCACTTGTCATAACGCTCGAAATCTGTGCGTAACGCTTTATTTCTCCCACTAGGAAAGAAGTCTTCTCGCTGCGGTAGCCTGCGGGTAGACAGTGTCTCGATTGTGCTCGTAAAATGCTGGAAAGTCGGTCACTGGAAAGTCAAAAGTTGCTAAAAAATAGCTAAAAATCTAAAAGTTGCTACTTGAATATCAAAAGTTGCCGAACACAATCGGGACTGCCCAACCTACCGGAAGGCTCTCATTGACACATTGACGTCGCTAAACGAGTATATCACGGGCTTCTCGCCAAGTTTGCGAGATGCTCTGGAAAAAAAAAAGGGTCATCGCTGCGCGAGTACTGGGATAAAGATTTAGAGGCGCGCGAGAACGTTTTCGGCAAGTGAATATTTTCCTCTCGTGGGCCGCGCACGTCCACTTTGTGTAACAAAATAAATCTCGCTTTACGTGAGGTGTGAACGTCAACAAGATTAATAAACAATCAGTAGTCATCAACAGGAAAGTAACTGTCATTTTGTTCAAATCTGTACACGAGTATCCTGCTGTGTTAGTCATTACTTTCACGTTTCGTTTTCCTTCGGGGCTAGTTTTAAATCACAGCGTTCATTTCAGTTCAGCTCGGGTTATCTTAATCCCCTCAAATATTGACCAAATAAATTAAAATCGGGAATTTTCACTATATCTCTTTTGGGCCGGTTGACGCCTGTTAAAAAAAGATGCTGGACTTCCATGGCAAAACTATAATTGTCTTTTTCAGGTGGTCGGCTAGTGATCTTGACAGAATCACTGGAAAGAAAACAAACAAGTGCGTGCCATGCATTGATACACTCCAGCCTTTTATGCAAATTTTATTCGGCCGCAATTATCACAGAGATAAACATAGTCTTCTGCGAGAGCAATTAGTCTTCTGAGCAAGCGAAAAACCACCGGCGTGTTACGGCACCGGCATAGAGCATTTTCCACGGTAGTTGAGCAAAACACATTACTATTGGTAAGTTTGAATTGTTTTTGCTTTAGGTGAGTTCAAATGACTGATCTCTTGATGGAAGTGCGTTCATTTCAAAGCCTCGTTGTAAGATAGCAACCGAGATTAGGTCTCGTAATACTCCTCTTTTATCGGTATCTGGTTCTGTTTGAAGAAGCTGAAAACTCTGTGTTTCATTGTGTATTTTTCACGGCTTCGAAGTCATCCATAGAAATGTAAACATGTTCGAAAAATTCCAAACACACTCAACATTTTGTACATATTATTACATCTAGCCTGACGGAGACGAGTCCCAAAGGAGTTTCTTGCTTCGCATTCGTCACCAGATATTTAAAACTACTTGCATTGATTGAGTTGTCAGTGAGTTGTCATGCCCTCGATTCAAACGGCATATTTTCGAACAAGATAAAATTTCTACAATAATATTCTTATCTACTCAAGACCGTAAGAAAACGTTACTCTGTTTTGATAACGAATTTTTGAAATAAATGAGTGCTATCGCACCGAGGCACATTTCGCCTTGATGTAAATTAAATATGCCTTTCTGAAAACTTAGATCCGTCATTTCTTTATTAAACAATTTTTCCTTCTCTGGGATTTAATGTTCGCATTTGTCAGTCCTCCATGTGTTTTACTGATGAATTATTAATCACACTGAAGTTATTTTGTTAACATCGGTTTTTACATAACTTAAACCACCAACTTTAAAAAAAATAGTACTGACAATCTCCGTGTCCATGGGACGCTTTGGAAAAAGAAAGACGCCAACCATAAAACTAAAAAGCAAACCAAGGAAGAATTTCCACTTAAAATTGGACTGGACATAAATTTGTTGCTGGCAGTTAAAAATAAAGGTAACACTGTGGGATTTGTAATGTCGAAAAAAGCTGTTCTCAAACCAAAAAAAAGTAGATAATAGGAAAGAAAGAAAGAAAATGAGAGAAAATTTCGTAGATGGATAATATTACTTCGGATCTCTCTCGTGATCCAGTTCTCCAAATGAAACTCGATTGAATCGAATCCAAAATTGGAGTTCTGATCATTTGAAAGATCGTAACCCCTCATCCAAACTGTCCAGGCCATCATTATTAGCGCTGCAGGACGCGTGTTTCTCCGCCCGCGGGAAGATTTGAGACGAATCGAGGAGAGGTTAGGAGTCTGGCACAAACAATGCGAAGTAGACCGTATTCAGACCCTCTCGCCAGCTCGCGCTATTCAACTCATACTTTTTTTCCCGCGGATGAAGCTTAGAAACGTTCGTGCCGAAACTCTTTTGACGGCCTGCTCTCAGGCTACAAATGGCAGACAGTTAAAATTACGAGTAACACAATTAAAACTTCCTTGCAATCAAGGCTTTGACGCTTGGCGCGTTTTGTTGGGGATTATCCATTGACATCTCCTTTATCTTCCACACGTCCCTATGTACAAGCGATTTAGCCGATTTTTGTATGATCTGCGAAAGCATTTTTTAAGTTTCTATTGATTGGAATTGTTTTAAACATGTGAATTAAGAAAGTGTCATATGAGCAGGAAAAAAAAGGGAATATCTATCCTTTCTATTAGACTTTTTCAAAATTCTCAAATTTCATAGTAAACCGCTACAACGAATTACAGTTTGCCAAAGTGCAAGTGCATTCTCAGTTTCATAATGTGAAAAACGAGACCTGTCTTTCTAATTAAAAAGTGTTAATGATCGACGATTACAAATTATATTTCGCATGCAAGTTATCCTTTGTTTTAACTGAGTCTTTCATTTTGTGTCCGCATAAATTTCCCAGACTTTAAGTTCAGCTTGGAATCATCTGCCACGAAAAAAAAAAATTTTAAATTTAAAGAAGGCGTCGCATTAACTATAAGGTCGCTTGTTAATGAGACATCATATAAAGTGAGACAGAAGTAGAAAATTTACTTTTTCAAGAAGTGCAAAAACCAAACGGATTCAAAACGTTTTCTTTTTTTGTTTGTTACTTAGGCGCAAAAATGAAGATGATTCCAACAGATCAGGATGATGTAGTGTTCAAAGAGCTACCATACAGACAGAAAGCCAAGAGGATCATAATGGCGCTTGCCGTAATCATTATCCTGTTGTTCATTCTTTGTGTCATCTTTATCGTATTATTTGCAATGAAGAAAACCAAAACTCAGGAAGAAAAAGGGCATGAAGAATCGGTCCAAAAGACTTGTGCCTCAAAAGAATGCTTGTTCGCTGCTGTTGGTAAGTTGGCTGTTTTTTTGTTAAAAATTTCGATAGTGCAGTTTTATTTCAGTTTATTGTAGGCATGATGCCAACTAAATCTTATCATCGTGGTCTGTCAGGTAACACGGACAAGAGAACGTAACTCCCAGTGACTGACTTTGTTATCGTTTATACAGGTTCTCATTCAAGCTTAAAGCTGAACTGGGCCAGTCTGTCTAAAATAAATACAATCAAAAGAATTTAAACAGTTAACATTCTCTTGATTCAATGCGTACATACATAAAAGAATTAGAAAAAGAAACAATTCCGTTTTGCTTTTACGCCGCCATGCACGGCGACCTAGCGTAACGCAGTATTGTTAAACCAACATTAAAGCTTGTGTAAATTTACCACTGCGCTTCCTAAAATTCTCTTGTTATTTCCTTTTTTAAATTTTTTTCTTAAATTTTCGTATTTGCTGATTTACTCCTTTTGAGAAGATCTTGAATCTCATCAATCGGAATGTTGTTAAGCTGCTGCCATGAATCAATTTTGGTGACGTACGCAAATCTGAAATTTGACTCCAACAGTGCTTTCGATCGAATCAGTTTCGTCACAAACTGCCATCCGGCTGATTGACTTAGCGATCTCGTTTTGCCTATTATATGCATTTTTAGCCGTCTTGAATGCGTTCTAATTTTTTATTTGTTCAAAATACATTGTGGCGTTGAACTACATGTGAAAATATGCGGGAAAAGCTCACCGAATTTGAGGAAGAAGAAGCCGTCGACATAAAGTACAAATTGAGGCATTTCACCAAGTTCAAGGTTTTGCTCGTGGTCACCTCAATTTTAGCTGTGTTATTGATCACGTTTATAGTTTTATATGCCGTCGAAAAATCCATCGATAACGATTCGGCAAACGAGCAAGGAAAGACTCCACGTGTACAGACGTACTGCGGCACGAAAGTATGTTTTGACGCAGCACTCGGTAAGCCCAATTCCAATTTGGAAGAACGTTTCATTTAAATTAATTTTCCTGATTTCGTCTCGTTCTTGAGGTAATTCAATGTGCTTTTCACATTTATTGATGATAATTTCATGGAGAGAGTACAAGATCCAAGAGCCGTTGTGTGACAGTTGTCAGGCAATCCCATCACGCACGAGAAATACGATACTTAAGATCTTGAGACCTCGCTCATGTGATAGATCTGAAAATATATTGAATTACAGTTAGCTTTTATTATGATCGTTTTTCTTACCAAGAAACGCCATTATTCAGTGAGGGGTTTGACTTCCCTTTTTCCGGGAAAAGTTTGGGTTTTCTCGGAATCAAAAAGGAAAACAGAAGCGTTGGAAAGACTCCGTGATAAATCGAAAAATATTTGGGAATGCTCTAACTAAAATCGTTTTTCTCGAAAAAAATAGAAAGAAAAGAAAAACACCATTATCAAAACGTTCATTTCGATTTTTTTCTGAGAAAATTATTTTTGTCTCACTGAGAGACCACTTTGTTACGTCTCAAAGGTTGGCTCTTCTCGGAAATAAAAGGGCGAGAGTTTAGAGGATATAATGGGGGAGGGGAGGGAAGGAATGAGGCGGGAGTGAAGGGGTGAGAGTGGCTATTTCCAGGAATATTTCGTGTCGAAATGGATTTCACGTGGTAGTGGTACGGTCCCAGGTTGAGACAAAGCTCTCCTTTATTTCACAACAAATGGAACCATTCAACCGTTTGTGTATTTGCATTTCATATTTAATTAATTTGGAAGTGCTGCAGATGCGTTCGTCATTTTATCCATTTGCTCAAACACTGTCGAGTTGATAGCGACAAAATGGTTAATATGAGGAAGTTAACGGAACACGAGGGCGCAGACGACACCAGCGTCAAGTATAAATTGAGGCATTTCTCAAAGTTTAGAATCTTGCTCGTGGTCACCGCGATTTTGGCCCTGTTAGCGATTATATTTATCACATTGTTTGCCGTTGAAAAATCCAAGGTTCACGATTTAACAAGCCAGGCACAAAAGACTCCAAAAGTACAAACCTACTGCGGCACGAAAACATGTTTAGACACAGCTTTGGGTAAGCATACGTAGTACAGAAAGTGTTCAGAGTTTATTGATCGCAAGTAATGAACTCAGTTCTGAACGTTTTGTACTTAGATTCAATCAACATGCATCGAACACCACTTATTACTAGTGTGTTTACTAAGGCGATGTTGGACTGATTGAACACTCATTCTGTATTGCTTTTGACTGAATTCAGTCTAATGTCATCGGGCAAGATTTCGACACAGCCCCACACTTCATTATGCATACAGTTCTTAGATAAAGAAACCAACGGCAAAAACAATAGATTTATTTTGGGACTACAGCTATAGTTTAGAACAATTTGCGATTATATGGAAATATTTCCATTGATCTTTGTGTCGTATCTAATGACAAATTTTACCGAGATTAAAGCTTTCTATAATGATACACGCGCGCAAGCCCCGAAGAGATTGAAGGATTACTGAACGCATGTCTTCTATAATAGAGTTAAATGTTCTAGCAGCTGCTTTACCAGCGTTGCAAGATGTTCGGTACGCTTTTGTTATTCCATCAAGGAATTTTCCAGAAATTTGAGAACTCGATTAATTATTCTTAGTAATTTTTTTAATTGATTTTAAAAAATTTCCTAAACTCTTGGTGGTGTGGAGATAATTTGACATATTCTGGCAACTTTCAAAAAGATTTTTCAGTCCATGTTGCAGAAATGTTGTTTTTTGATACCACTTTTGACAATTTTGCCTTTTAGTCAGTAATGACGTCAATGTACATAGCCCTGGGGATTATAACGAAGCGATTTCGTAACAAATCACGCCAACAGCTTTTCTCTCATTTATGCAGGGCTGCCGTATCGGTTGTCACCTGAGCGAAACGGCAAAATGGTATTTCTTTGCAAAGTTCTCTGGGTTTGTGTAGAACGCTTAAGTCTGAATTTTTCATCAACGAAAAACTGCGACTGTGACTTTGCAATTCGATCAGTTTAATAGATCACGACAGTATGCTAAATCCTTGACTTTATGACCTTCAGACTAAAAAGATTTCCATTTCATTTTTAGGCTTGTCTTGTGCAAACCAGCTTGTAAACACAATTCTGAAATTGCTGAAGAAACCCTCGACCACCTGATAAACTTTAAGATATTTGGGATTATACAGAACTTTGGTCGTAGTTTATTAGCTTAATTATGTAACGTAGTCCGACTATCAGAGTGGGTTCCGCGAGTTTTCAATTGGTCAACGTGTATCATTACGCTTTACCAAGAAAACTTGGTTTTTCTCGGAAATTGGAGAAGAAAAATGAGACGCATGGTAGAGGGGGTGGGGGAAAGAGGAAAGTGAAGAGAGGAGGGGAGGGGAGGGGAGGGGATAGGCTAGACAGTAAGAACAAGAGGGTACGAGGGATGTTATTTCAAAGGGATTCAGTTACTGTGATACAAAAGATTTTCAGGAGCTTTAGCTTTAATCTGAGTTCACCTTAACAAACATCTTTCACTACAGAGAGATAACTCAATCTTTATGTGAAATATCGAATCTTCGTGATCGAGTTCCGGTATTTTAGAGGTATTAGATACATTGTTATTCGATAATGATTTGCCTGATGCGAAGAAAATAAGGTCCAAGAGGATTACAATGAGGCTATTAAATGTTGCAAACCTTCCACAGTTGTCTCCTGTGAAATTTACCCCCAATTTCTAACGAAGACATTGTTGTATCGAGTCGCTATAGAAGCACGTGCGTTGAGTTTGAAAATCGCCTGATTTTGGGATTTCTTCTTTGTTCATGTGCGATGTTTTGTTCTTACAGACATGTTAAAGCAGCTTAACCAGACTGTTGACCCATGCGAGGATTTTTACGAATATGCCTGTGGAGGTTGGGAAACTGAGAATGCTCTGAAGCCTGGGGAGACCCACGTGACTGGATTCGCATTGGTCAAAGGGAAAAGTTACCAAGTCCTTAGAGAAGCACTGGCAAATGCAGAGAAAAATTACTCAACAGTGAGAAAAATAGTTCATGTGAATGATCTGTTTGTTGTGTGTATTTTTACGCTTGGTTTTCGATAGATATTCATTCTTGTAGTTCGACACAACCTTAATATCTCCAAGAAGTCATCAAAATATGATTTCTTCTTTGCGATTTCAATACATTATCATGTGAACTAGTGCTGAGAAATGGTAACCTCATCAGCTGAAGGGTGTTATATTGATATAACCATAAACTAACCTGTTTGATTTAAAATGAAGTGTTGGGTAGATAGCAGGCAACCCCTTTCCTAGAGCCCTCTCTCACGAAGAGAAGGGAAGTTGCTTGAAGGAAAGTTCGTGAGATAGAGAGCAAAATGAAAATCACGCTAAACTTGAAAAAATTGAGAAGATGATAGTTGATTGGAAATTATGAAATGGAAAATTAGGACCAAGTGTTTTACTTTATGTAAAAAGCTACATGTTGCCTTCAAATTGCCTTTATTAGTTGGTTAAGTCAATCATCCTTAAAATATGGTCACTTATTAAACAAATCCCCACCGCTTGTAATGACCGGCTGGTTAGCTCAGTTAGTTGAGTGTTAGACTTTCGTGCAGGAGGTCGGAGGTTCAAGCCCCTGACCGGATCAACAATAACTCAGGGTCTAAAAGTAAGCGAGGATAATGTACTACCTTTGCTATGGCTTCTGCGTGTGGCAACGCATTGTAGTGTTCCTAGATAAGGACGATGAACCGTAGACCTTGTCTCTTGCATCTTCTCTGTACTGGTTAGCCGGGAACGTTAAAGAACCCACACACTTCTTGCAAATAGTAGAGAACGTAGCTCTTGCTATTTTGATCTGGCCTTGATTTCGAAATTGGGAGTACTTGCAAGTATATCCTACCAGACAAATTTGCAAACTGCTTACTGCAGTTTGGCCGAAATCCCCTGCAAATCGCTTAGCAAAACTCCTTGTAACTTCATTGTAAGGAACTGGGATATAAAGCTACGGTTTGGTAACCCACATGGCTCGAGTAAAGACTTTACCCGTACCTCTGAATCCTGTTAGGTTCGACTTAGCAACATTCTACGACGTTCTCAGTGATTTTTTTTTTTTCAGAACGAAGCTGTCATGAAGACCGTCAAGTTTTATAACGTCTGTATTGACAAGCCGTCGGTTGAGGCCCGAGGGGATGGTCCGCTCAAAAAGCTGATCGTTGAGATGGGCGGATGGCATGTGACGGGTAACATGACACCTCTTTCATCCATGAACATCATAGAAAGTATTGGCAAAGTGTCCAGGGAACTGTTTATAAAGCCATTTGTCGATGTGACAGTGTTTATTGATCCCCATGATTCAAACAAGCACATTTTACAGGTAAGCTCTCCTCTCGGTCATTTTATCGGAGACCCTTGTTAGTGTTCCTTCGCCACAACCCTGTTTTCTTTTCTAAACGAACACCTTAAGCAAGCATAGGATGATGGTAGTCTCGTATCTAGACCTTCCACGGCTAAACGGTTGTACATGTCAGTTACAGTTACACGATAAGATCTGGGTACGATGAAGGCAATTTGGGGACCTCGATATTTCTCTACACGGTTATTATTATTATTGTTGTTATTATTATTATTATTATTATTATTGTTATTATTATTATTATTATTGTTATTATCATTGTTAGTGTTATTATTGTTATTATTATTATTATTATTGTTGTTGTTGTTGTTGTTGTTGTTATTATCGTTATTGTTGATAAAGAAAAGTACTAAAAAAGATATTTTACTAGTGATAGCTTGACACCTTCTCAACTCTCTCCATAAGAAAGAGCGCTCAGCCCATACAGTTCATTGTTTCTTCCTGGTTACCAACTATTTACTGTGCTATGGACAATTATATCTAACTCGTAATAGCATTCAAAACTAACCCCTTACGTCTCGTTTGGCTGCGTGAGGTCCTCTTTTGATTGCAAAGGGGTTAGTAGAGGTAATTATTCTTAATCCAGATCTGTCACCTCTAAATCCATACGACTCATTTTCAGTTTACACCGGGAGAGCTAGGAATGCTTCGCTCATACTACACAAAGAATACTTCCGATTCTCAAACAGTAAGTTAGAATTTTAACCTAAGAATAAGCTTGCCACAGATTTTAAAGGGTCCATCCACGGAGTTGTGATTATTTTGTTTTGCCTTGACTTGTTGTTGTCGTGTATGCTTTTTGTTCTTGTTCTTGTTTTGGTTTTGTTTGTTTTAGGTACAATTTGAGGGGTTCACAAGTCATTTTCGTAAGAAGGCAGTAGGCTGACGGTTAGCGCTTTGAAATCCGGGTGTAGAGGCCTGGGTTCGATACCTTGCTGGGTTACTGTGTCTTTTTCTTAGGCAAGACACTTAACTCGCACCCTGTCTCTCTTCTCTCAGAAGAGGAAATTGTTACCAGCAAAATGTCAAGGAAATCTCACACGAAATGCTAAAGGGAGGGGGAGGAGGGTGGGTTGACATGCAATGGACTGGTATCACGTTCAGGGGGAGTAGCTTAGTAGCAATACTCCTATTCTCACCATGCTACGAAAATGAGGATAAGTTGCGGCCAAATGGGCCACCCAGCTCTAGAACAGACTCCTCCATTTATTGCCAATTATTTCCAGGACTAGCTTCGCCAATATGATGGCTATAAAAGGTCTGCTTGTTAATCTTGGGCTAAACAATTTGCTGAATGTTTGGATACATAACCGTGTTTTTTTCAATAGATTCGGGAAGCTTACAAGACGTACATGAAGACCATCGCCAAATATCTAGGAGGAGGCCCGGACTCTGATAACCAGATGATGAAAGTTTTTGACCTGGAGACCAAGATAGCGAGTGTAAGCACTGTCTTTAGACATCTGGTTGTTTTGGTTTTTTATCTTTTTTCACAACCGCACCAAATAGGTAACTTACGTTACTCGTTATCTGTCACATAATAAATAGCGAGTAGCGTAGCCAATCAGATTGCAGCATTTGTGGAAGAACGCTCGTAGGTTTCTACAAAGTGATTCTCTCTTACCTTGCGAAAACGGAAGTATTCATCGCTGTCTCTTGATTCGGTCTTACAGCTCTACTTGTATCTTGAAGTACGCTACAAAATAAGTGGGAATAAAAAAAACCAAAGAACTTGGCTTATTTGTTCTACTTTCGAGCTCGGCCGTTGAGCCTTTTGAAACGTGATCTGCTTCGCATTTACAGCTGGGTCAAGATGGGGAAGACGGCTCCATCATAGAAACGCTAAAGAGAGACTTGCCCCCCGGAGCGATAGTCATGGACCTCAGAGTAACACTGGAACAGATCAGCAATACAACAGAGATAGACGTGAGTCCAATACTTGTTTGCTGCTTGCCTATTTTCTTTGGTCTTTAAGATCTTTCCTTTTTTCTCTTGATGAGCCCGCGTCCACACTGCCGAAGTTTAACCCTGTTTTTCAAAACACAGCGGTCAATCGTCTGCGCATGCGCAAACGTTTTCATGGCTGGCCAGGAAGCATTCTCTCAGGCTTTCAGAGCCAAGTCGTCTCAGTAGAATTTTAAACAACCACACATGCTAGTAAGAAGCGTTGTTTCGAAATCGTATACCTTTTTTTTTTTAATAGAGCTGAACACAAAATTGCAAAAGTAATATTCGTGTCCTTGTTTTCTATTACGGATTTCTAAGAACGTTTTAGTGTCCTGATGGAATATCTTCAAATATTCAGAAAGTTTATTTATTAAAGTAATAATATTAGCTTATGGAAATAAATTCATGTGCGTTATAAGTATTAAATTTATAATAATAATAAATGTTATTAAGATTATGATTTTTTTTCTTGTTTTTCTTTTTGTTTTTTTTTTGTTCAGGTTGAAGAAATTGTTGCTCTGGTAAACGCAGTTTTTAAGAGGCAAAAGCGTACATTCCAGAAAGACGAAAAAGTGATTGCATACCCCCCGGAGTATTTCACGGAGCTTTTTTCGCTCTACAGAAACGTCGTCAAATCGTAAGTGCTGAGATGAACGAGTAGGCATTTTTTATTTCATTAATTTATATTGCCCTGCTTGAAGTGCGGAAGGAAAGAAAACCGGAAGGGTACAGAAATTGTGAAACTATAGTTTAAGTTACTAGTATGATTTTGTTGCTGCGAAGGAAAGATCATGCAGATACAATTATTTTCAATGCCATTGCCATTGCCATTGCCATTACCATTGCCATTGTCACTGTCATTGTCAATGTTATTGCCATTGTCATTTTCTTTGTTGTTGTCAATGCCAGTGCCATTGCCGTTATCGTTTGTATTTCCATTGTCAATGTAAATGTCATTGTTATCGTTATTGTCATTATCAAGGCCATTGTCACTGTCAATGCCGTGGTCAATACCATTGTCATTGTCATTATCAAGGCCACTGTCATTGTCAATGCCACTGCCCTTGCCATTGCCATTGTCATTGTCATTGCTATTGTCATTGCCATTGCCAGTGTCATCGCCATCACCTTTCCATTTCCATTTCCATTGTCATTTCCCTTTTTGGTTCTCCTCTCCAAAGAGACCCAGAGGTTCTCGTCAATTACATTATGTGGCAAGTCATCAATAACTTCGTGAAGATAATGCCCCAAAAATACAGAGATGCCAGGGAAATGGTCAGCGTCGCCATCGCAGGCAACATGACAAGATATCCTTGGGAGCAGTGTATTGATGGTATGCAGCAGGTATTTGGAATGCCTCTCGGGTTGCTGTTCGTGGATGCTTCGTTTGACGAAGGAAGCAAAGCTACAGTATGTGAGAAACGAAATGATGGTTATTATAAAGAATGCGTGATTTCGCAATCTCTGGATGCTGTTGCTAAGTCGTAGTCTACATCAGAAGCAACTCGCAGTTGATCTCAATTGAAACTGTTTAACGCAGAGGATGGGAACATGTCTAACCAGCGAGCAGACCCTCGTAATTATTAGCGCTGCAGGATACGCGCATTTCTTCACCCATGGAAAGATTTGGGACGAGTCGGTGAGACATTTTCCGTGGGGTTGTGCTGAACACCTTGCTGAAGTCTCGCCGACTTGCGTTGTTCAAGGCCTCAAGAAACGCTCGCACCTAAGCGCTTATTAAGAGGAGGGCCTGCTCATAAGCTAGAATATGTCAAACTCCAATTAGTTTGTAACTACAGGCATGAGCGCATTATTAATACGTGAAGGAATACCTGCGTCACGTGTTCAGCTACAGATGAGAGGCCATACTGTTTTTATTTTTTATTTTTTTTTCATAAATTTCATTTGCATGTACTCTCAAAAAAGAACACCACTGGAATGTCGCTTTACCTCGCCTCTCGACTACCGGAGAAATTTTACAAATCTTACAAAATCTTACAAATTTGGAAAATTTACAATTTCTTCAAACAAAAAGATGATCATGCTCCTCTGCACCTGCAAACTCATGTCTGTCTGTGCCTGAGTCTTTACTCGAGAAAAGTTCTATTTAAGGGGAAACAAGCAGAGGAACACCAATCTTTCAATCAGGAAGACTTGATAATGCATAAATATAATTTTCAGTTGTGGTTCAATTCTGTCCGTTATTGTTCGCTCTTAAAGGAAAAGAGAAGAGTTTTTTTCAGTTACTTAACTCAGTAACTTGAGATTATCGCCAGTCTTATCTGGAAACAAACTTATCAGTAATTACCTATTGTGAGTAACATCACTTTCTTTGTTTGATCCAGATAACACAAATGACAGAGCTGATCAAAGAAGAATTTATCAGCGGCCTAGACTCACTGAAATGGATGTCTTCCGAGACAAAAAAGAACGCAAGAATAAAGGTGCAATTATTTACAGCCATAGCATTTCCTAAAGACTCTCGAGTTTTCCTGCTTGACTTCAGCAGAAGTCTCTCAACGTCACCAACTGTAAAAGGACCATTGTAAATGTAGTACATAAACTGAAAGTTCAGCCAGAATAATAGACCCATTGTTTGATAAGATAGACAGGAAAAAGACCGTTGAAATTCTTATCTTTTTTTTTAAAAGGTTTATCGAGATTGGCCTCTTGTAGGTGCTTAGAAGGATACATTTGCAATTGGTTTTGTCTCCTTTTTTCAGGCAAACGCAATTGTTCAAGATATTGGCTACCCCGACTTTATAAAGGATCCTTCCAAGCTAGCTGCAAAGATTAAAGATGTAAGCTGTCACTGGCAACAAAATTTCTAGAACCTTTTGAGTAGCCAAGGAAGTATTCCCTCTGTGGTACCTAAGTTTAGAGAAGGCGTATTACTATTGTAGAGAGAAAAATATAAAAAATGAAAAAAAGCCTCTGAAACTAGAATACAATTAATTACTTGCAATCAGTCTTTATATTTGAGAAAGAAACATTTACTCTAATCCTCCGTTATTATTTCAAGGATTGAAAGTCGACAATAATGAATAGCTTATTTATGTGACTCGGTTAAAAAACTTGTGCTTTCTAAACGATCAATGCGTGATTGAGGTATTATTTTTATAGAGGAAAGAAAACGAATTGTCGTTCTTACTTCTCCTTTATTGAAGTTTTGTTCAGAACAAATTTAGCCAGTTAGCGTTTGCACTGATCTAAATTTTGACCTCATTTACTTCACTTTGTTCACTCGAAAAAGTGTTCTTTCTATTTTTTCTTCTACAGCTGACAGTTGGTGAACATCTCTTTGAGAATACAAGGAACGTATTAACGTTTGTAGCAGACGAAACATACGGTTCATTGGACAAGCCTGTGGATAGGGACCAGTAAGGAAAATCCTCTCCCCTTTTCTTCCTCTTCTTTTGACCCTCCCCACTACTCCCGTCCCTTCTTGTCATCTCCCCTCCTCTCCTTCC